GTCTTTGTACAGTCAAATACACAAAAACAGTAACACAACTAATAATCTCATTTGAACAATGTCTGTATTTCTCACATAAGGACCAATGACTTCTGATGTGTTTTGTTTTTATTCCTCCACTCCAATCTAAGAGTAAAACCATGACCCTTTCACTTACCGTCCTCAGTATTCATTGAGAAACTTTTTTATTTTGTTTTATTTTTTGCTTCAGCCACTCAAATTAGCCTAGGCTGTTCAACAAAAGCCCAACTGGACCTGTCGCAGGGACGAGGCATAAATCATTCTCCCCGAGCAGAAGCAGTGGCAGGACCAGAAACACATCCACCGGCCTGAGATTTACGTCCCACATCGAAGCCGAGCCTGGACCCTCTCCACCAGGGCATCTTCAAATTGGTTATTGATCTTCCAATCCCAAAATGAATCATACGTTGCCAACACTGTTTAGGTGTTACAGTAGTGAGCTCGCGGCTAATACGCGGCCTCTGGATGGATTACGGTTTGGAAACCATGAGAAAACAGGTACCTGAGCTGAACAGGGAGCAAATTACTCTGAGATGAGTAAATGCACTGTTGTCACGCAGCAGAGCCTCATTATAACACATCACAACAGCTGAAGAGGCAGCTGACAGTTGCAGATGGGAAGAGCTTGAAGTTGGCTGTTTTATTGTAATGATCATGTCTGCAGTCATAAGGAATAACTGTAGCTGTGCTGGTTTAATTATTTTGAAATGTTTCAGAAAGTATACATCATTTTTTAAATCTATCTTGTATATTGAGAACAATTTTTTTCTTTCAAATTCTCCTCTCTTGTTCCCTATTTAGAGAGCTTTTCAGTGTAATTATGAAATGCACAGGGATCACATTTTATTGAGATAGATCCCTCAAAGAAGAATCAGCGCTTTTATTCAAATCAAGCCTAAATGAGTCTGTTTCTGTCAAAGTTGCCCGTGTCTGCTCTTGGCATGTAATTTATCGTGGCACATTATTTAATGGGCCCCTCACTTCTCGCCCAATTAGGCTCCAAGATGGTGTGTAAACGTAGCTCCTACCCTGGGAACAGTTTCCTCATAAATGCCAGAACGGCCATTATCACGAATCCCTTTGTGAGTGAAAACAGACACCTTAAATATGGACTCGGCTTTAATTGAAAGATTCTCCAGATGACTTTGGTTCTGTTTCTTTGAGTTTCCGCTTAAATGTCAACTCTGGGATGGAAGACAATGGGACGTGTCTCTCTTGGTCCTATTTTTGAGAGGAAATGTCAGGCTCATTTTCATTTCCAGAGATGTCAGGGTTCTGAGTTGGCCATCGATGATAAGAAAGGTGTGGCAGCGCGGTGACTCTCTTGCTGTTGCCTCTCAGCATGAAGGTTGCCGGATTGAGACCCGATTGGGGAGCTTTCAGGATAGAGTTTGCGTGTTCTCTCTGTGCATGTGTGGGTTTTCTCCAGGCACTAAAGTTTCCTCCTGCAGACCAAAATTGCAAGCTCTAAATTGTCCCTAGACATGTGTGAGAGCGTGAATGGTTGTTTGTCTCTATGTGGCCCTATGAGTAGCTTGTGACATGTCCAGTGTGCAACACCACCCCCCCCCCCCCACACACACACACACATGCACACACATACACACAGTGACTGGATTTGGGCTCCAATGACCCCCATGACCCGGAAAGGACGAAGCAGTAAAATATAATGGATGCAATGGATAATATTAACTAATTGGCTGCTGAATGGAATCAGGTTGTAATTTTATGGATGTAAAATTCTCATTTCCTTTACGTTTTTGTAAAATTGCTTGAGAATACAGTATAATTATTGATTACAAAGCACTGAGACACTAATGACTTTTGCCCTCTGGATAAGCAATATTTTGTCATATAATGCCTTTTGTATCACATAAGGATCAAACTGATAGTTCAGTTCTTAGAAAGTTATTTTTTGTGAGGTAAAACCAACATCATATATGTCATGGAAATMTCTATTTTACCTAGTGAGAAACACGAGATCCAAGAAAAAAAATACTCCGTGAAAATGGTCAACAGGATTTATTGCAATTGCAAGACACACATCATGTCACACAGGGTAGTGGTACAAAATGTGTGCCCAGAGGCAGTGTCAAATACATGCAATTATACAGTATGTTATCCAAACAGACAAACTGGGCCAAGGAGAGAATGATGTTTGATAAACAGCAACAAGAATGATTACTTCTAAACAGATATTGTCCTGATCTTAAAACACTTTGTGTGAGAGAAAACAGAAGATAAAGAGTAAAATCWAAACATAACAACATTTTAAAGTAAACAAAAGAGGTCTCTAGCTTCATTTYCACTGACCATGAAAATGTGCAAATTAGAATTTCGAAAATAAATTTGCTCAATGGAAACTCGTCAATTTCGGAAAAAAAATACATTTTTTGACAAAATGTTTTTGCACTAGGATGAGGTGGTWTTTCTGCCGTATGGAAATTGGTGTTTTTCGCAAAACTGCAATGGAAACACTTTTTTCGCATCACGGGAGTCAAGTGATCAACAACCGGCTGTTTCTACTGGTGAAAAAGATGAAGAAGGTAACAGGAAGTAGAAGTAGTAGTAATATCACAGATGTAGTATAAAATAGTAAACTCACCAACTACAATTTCCCAAAAACACAGCATACGTAGCTGCTCCCAAGTAGGGGCTTGCTGCTGGAAAGCCTCGATAAAAGTTGCTGACGTCTCCTCTGATGATGAGCGCTAGTGTCGCGATAGCAACATGCTATGTGTTTACATCCATTGCGACCATGTTTGTAATGACTTATCGCGAGAACAAACGTATTCACGCGTGACTTTAATAGCATTTCTTACTTAATGGAAATGCAACAGTTGCCAAACTGTGTTTTTCGACATTAACAGAATATCGACAAATTTTTGCACACATTTGCAATGGAAACACAGCTACTGACTCTTGGCCTGAGAAGAAATGTAGGACTTTAAAGGATAATTTACTTTTCCAAGACAATTCCTTCCTCTTGATCAAACATTGATCACTGAAATAAGTTTGGAAAAATAATTATCTGTCATTCCAAAAATTTTAATTATTGGTCTAAACAAGTCATAAGCTGAACTATTAAATAAGCAATCGACCAAGAAAATGATAGGGACTTGAAGCAAATATTGAAAATAAAATGTTAAAGAAAAATAGTAATAATAAAAAGAAATGACATGCTATAAGAATTTAAATAAATAAAAGGTAACAAAACAAAAACATGGCATCAGGATGTTGTTATGATATTACTTNTAAAATACTCACAGCAATCGTGTAATCTGTCTGGGCCTTAATTGCATCCCGTAGCCGTTTCAGTTTTTCTGAATCCTGTTAGAGGTAAAAAAAAAAAAATAATAATAATAAAAAGAAATGACATGCTATAAGAATTTAAATAAATAAAAGGTAACAAAACAAAAACATGGCATCAGGATGTTGTTATGATATTACTTAGTCTGAGAAACTGTTTAGAGAAACCTAATCTAATTATTAATTGTTAATAGATATTAACTAATTGGCTGCTGAATGGAATCAGGTTGTGATTTGATGGATGTAAAATTCTCATTTTGTTCATGTTTTTGTAAAATTGCTTGAGAATATAATTATTTATTACAGAACACTGAGACACTAATGACTTTTACCCTCTGGATAAGCAATATTTTGCCATATGATGGCTTTTGTATCACATATATGGTTATAAACTGATAGTTCAGTTCTTAGAAAGTTATTTTTTGTGTGAGGTAGAACCAACATCATAAATTTATTTTGCCCTCTTCCAAAATAAGCAAATAAGAGGACGTCTGGATGGACAGATCCGGTACTTTTTGCTCCCGTCTCCAGTCGATGGCAGCCAGCAGAGGTACGACCTTTCTCTCTCGACAGCATGGCAGATGCTTATTAGTGCTAATGTTCTCACATCATCCATCTCCAGGTGGGCTTCCTTCATTGATCTCCATGCCAAGTCTTGTCACAGGCTGGTCCTCGTGCGGTGAGATCACTGGGCGCTGCACGGAACCGACTTTCGATGGCTTTCGACCCGGCTGATCGTTCTACCGTTAGACTCATGCATGGAAAGCCAGAATTAGAGCTGTAAGGTGACTTCTTGTTCAATGTTTTTATAAATTCACTCAGGACAAACTAAATGAACCAAAGAGAGGTTTGAAACTTGAGGTACTTTGTCCCGCTAAGGATATGGTATGGTAGTGTTTTTCTCAGAAAAAAAAAATCACAGAGTAAACGAGTTTCATATTTTCTGCATTAGATATGACATGAATTATAGTATAGACTCAGTAAAATTGTTCAATAAAGCATTCTTAGTTTTATATGTCGTTAGTCATGCCTCCTTTTTTACATGTTTTCCTATGTAGCAAGAGGTACTGAGTTTTTAAAGCTGTCATTAAGGTTTCTAAAAGTTTTTTTGAAGTTTTTCTTTAGGCATTGGCAACTTTTCACAACATACACATTTCCCCTCCATCATCCTTTCCTTTACCCTTGTTATTACAACAACAGTCTGCATTAAATATTTTAGGATCCTGAAAAAAAAAAATCCTGAAAAACAAAAAAATTATGGAACAATAGATGACAAACATTGCATTCTTCTACGTGTCCTGCCCATATTCGACAAGAAAACAAAGTAAAAACAGGTTTAGTGAACATAAAAGACCAAACATTAAACAGCTGTTCCATCTGACAAAAGTAATAGAATTGCATTTTGTTAAAGTATTCAGATTTTTTTTACCAATATTTTACAGTAACTGGATTTTTTAACATGTTAAAATGCAGAAATTAAAGAAAAAAACATGCATGGTTTTAGGTACAACTTTTATTTAGTATAGATTTTGAAATCTGCAGGACTGACATTCACTTAGATTGACTGATACATACGACGTGACTCATCAAGACAGGTATTCTCACACTGTTACTGACAGGTAATGACAACACAAGCCACGGCAAACAAAACTCAACAGATATTTGTAGAATTTGTTTCAACAGTTGCTAAATAACCATTTTTATAACATTTGATCATTTTTTATAGTATTCTATATATCTTGCTATCAAAAATAGCACCTCTAATTAAATAATAAAATATAAGCTCCATGCATTTAATGAGCTGATCTAACAAACTGCACATAAACCCTCACTGCACTTGGTGTTTTTTATTGCACAGATAACAAAACACATCTGGTCCTTTTCTTTTAAATGTAAATTATAAACTACAGTGGCTCATAAAGTAACATAGTTTGCAACACTTTACATCCAACATTGTAACTATTGCTTTGACGTACAATAAACCCAGTTTAAAGACTTCAAATGTTACACAGGAACAGTAGCACCCAACAYATTCTTTTCTCTTTACGCACATTATGATACGTTGTTCATTTAGACAGTTTGATAGGTTTAYATACAGAAGATGTTTTAAAGTGCATCGATAGACAGACTTCACATGTTCAAATTCTTTGGCAACTTCATGTATCGATAAATTAAAAAAATACATAAAAGAATAAATAGAATTTTGCACATTTAAATAGATCTCACACTGATAATAAAATGGCACACAGAGAGAAGTTGGCTGGGTCACATTTCCAGGGTGGCACGACTTTTACTCAATGACGTGTGGTACGTTTACACAAAGGGTGAAAAATACACATTAGATCTCTAGAAACACTCTCTGACAGAGGAGTTTATCCTCAGATCAGTGCTATGGGAGGGACATGGCTTATTGTTCCTTAAGAGCAGTAGACCGGTTAACTTCAGCCCACCAGAGTCAGTGTTAGACCCAAATCCATTCTTTTCCCCTCACAGCCCCAAGAGTTCTCCTTTCTTGTYTTTTTAAACATTTAAGTAGTATATGTAGTTACATGGTCACTTTAAGGCGTCTCATAACTATCGCACAAACCACACACAAAAGGCAATCTAAGCTACTGAGTGAAGCAGGCGAGTAAGCGTGCTCGATAAATACGGCTTACTTTCCTGATTTATGATGCTGGCCGGCCGCCTGGCTGCCAGTAACCGCTTTGGTAGCCACAGCCTCRCTTCTGTCGCACAGTTCTTTGATTTCCAACAGGCCCTCGTTGAGGGCTTTGACAAACACAGCCGAGCTCGTCTCCGTGTTCTCCCAGAAGCTTGTCACGCAGAAGATGATGTGGTCTGACCGTGGGTTGTAGCAGGCGCCGTAGCCGTTGGGCACCACGGGGCCGTAGCAGCAGAACATTTCCAGTGTTGTAGGAACCTGGAGTTCAAAAACACACACACAAAAAACAAAACAAAACCACAGGCTAAGTTAAACTCAATTTGAGAGTCCAGCAAAACAAACGCTTAAAGTTTAAAATAAATAATAATAATTTCAACGATGCTTTAATTTAGGGAACTTATCTAATGGGAGATGGCACTGATCAGTTTGACCATTATCTGGTAAAATGAGTAACCTTTGTCACTTAGTTTTTTCCTTAAGATAGTTTAGAAATAACTCACTTTATTATTTATTCTTGTTTCTGTGTTCATGTTTACTTCATGTTTTTTTTCTCACACCATGTTCGTATTTATAATAAGCTTACCTAAAATGTCCTTAATTTGTACATTCTCCCAAAATTTCAGTTCCTCTTTTGTCACATTCTTGTTGCACCTTTCTACCTTCCCTAAGTTCAGTCTATTCATATAAATCCACAGATTCTGCTTTTACAACACTTTGTTTTWTTGAAGAACTGTGGTACATCGCCTTGCCTGACCATCTTTTTCACCACTGTCCTTCCTTTGGGTGTTATTATTGAC